GCCAAATGCATCCTCTCACAACACTAGCTGGTACACTGATGCCAATGGTTTCCTAGAACACTTACCCAGCGGGAAAAGCCTATACTACAAGGGGCCTGCCCTCCAAAAAAATAATTCTGGAATTTTCTGGGTCCCCCCCAGTATAATATATTACATTAAAACACCTTTAATTGCCGGACTTGGTGGCTCAGCCTGTAATCCCGCGCTTTGGGAGGCTGAGGTGAGTGGACTGCCTGAGCCCGCAGATTCGAGACCCGCCTGGGCAACTTGGTGAGACCTCATCTCTACAATAAATCAAAAAATTAGCCTGGCATGGTAGCGCGTGCCTGTAGTTCCAGTTGGAAGGCTGAGGCAGAAGGATCACCAGAGCCCAGCAGGTCCAGGCTGCAGTGACCGGGAGCGGCCACTGCACTCCAGTCTGGGCGACAGAGTAAGACTCCAACTCAAATAAATAAATAAATAAATAAAATAAAATAAAACACCTTTAATTTATACTATTTGTTTTGCTTAGTTAACTAAACACTTACTGAGTGCTTTCTCTAGCCACAGCATTGATATTTCACTGGAGGTGGGAAATGTCAGGAAGTATATAATATATACTGCAGTCTTTATAATATATAATGCAGTCTTTATCATGAAGAAGTTTAAGTTGGCAGGTAGGAGATGAGAACAGAAATCATACGTAAATTAGTAAATGGAAAATTAACTATTTCAAAAAGTAAAACTAAAACTGAATAGTTTAATAAGAGATGTCTTACTACTAGTAAGTGCCAAAGGAACTGAGGAACAAGCTCAGTGTAGGGCACTGGGAGGAAGTAAGACCAGAGGTTAGGAAGTATGCTCCTGGAAGAACAGATGGGATTTGTTGGCCCATGTGAAGGAGTGTGGTGCTTTCAGAGAAAAGGTAAACCTAGTCAGAAGATGAAATGACCATGAAAAATGAGGTTGAAAAGAATTGAGGCTTTCAGAGTTGGGATTCAGAGGTTCTGTTCCTACGCTGAATGGGACAGAAGAGCTTGGTGCAACAGCTGCTGGAAGTAGGCTATATGGTGTTCAGGAGAGTTTTTCTGTCCTAAGGGAGGCTTCAGGGCAGTTGTTTCTCAGTTATGCCATATTCATTGGAGTCTCCACACTCGTCTCCTAGAAGCATCAGTAGTCATCTAGGGATCTATATCTAAAACAGAAACACTGCATTTGCCTCCCTTCTGTGGTGAGTACTGGTGTGGAGAGGGAGACCAGACTGATCACAGCAGCTGGGCATTTGACAAGCTTCTCATTCAGCAATGCAGTAAGAGTGGCAGTAGTGATATTGAAATGCAGAAAAACGTTCAATGCCACAAAGTGTAGTTAAAATGACATCAAAATATGCAAGCTTCTCATCTGCCTCCTTTTCTTTTTTTTTTTTTTTGAGTCAGAGTCTCACTCTGTCACCCAGGCTGGAGTACAGTGGCACACTCATAGCCACTGTAGCCTCGACCTGCTGAGCTCAGTCGATCCTTCCACCTCAGGCTTCCAAGTAACTGGAACTATAGGTGCGTGCCCCTAGGCCCAGCTAATTTTTTTATTTATTGTAGAGACGAGTTCTTGCCAAATTGCCCAGGACTGGGCTCAGGCAGTCCTCTTGCCTCTGCCTCCCAAAGTGCTGGGATTACAGGCATGTGAGCCACTGTGCCCAGCTGCCTCCCTTCTCTATCTACCCATAATAGAAAGGTATTTTAGATAAATATTTCTGAAAGAGCTACATTTTCCCTTAAGTAATTTCATTGAAACCATGTTTGAATTACCAGTTTAGCAAAATTTCCAAAGGAAAGTTTAAATTATTTTTTGTTATAATCAGTTATAGTAAATTCCTAACAGCAGTAAGTTGAAAGTTTCATTTTGCTTTTTAACAAAATGATCTGTTCAGTGTGCCTTAGAAATAAAAGGGGAGGTTCTTCTTTTTTCTTTTGAATTGTTAGTTCTGGTTCCACAGGACATTATGAGTTTAGTGGACTTTAAGCCTCATTCTTAGTCTTTGAAGCTGTCATGAGGAGCTTCTAAATATCACACAAAGAAGACATGCAAGAGATTAACAGATCAAAGATTACAGACAAGGATATGAAGTGAAACCTAAAGACTGACATAGCATTGCTATTTTTTGGCTACATGGGTTTGAAAGTGTTTATTAAATTTTGCTGTCAAGGTAGCACATTATTCTAGATTATGTTGATATTGCTTAAAAAGTTGAACGCTATGTTATGGAAGTCAACATTATAGTGCTGTTTCTCTCTTTTGAACTTCTAGAGCAGAGGTCACCAAACTTTTTTTGTAAAGGGCCAAATAGTAAATATTTTACGCTTGGGGTTATACAGTTGCTGTTGCAACTACTTATCTCTTCCATTGTGGCTCAAAAGCAACCATAGACAGTACGTAAATGAATGAATGTGGCTGTCTTCCAGTAAAACTTTAAAAATAGGTAGCAAGCCACTTGGCCCCTGGACCTTAGTTTGCCAAACCCTATTCTAGAGAATTTAATACCTATGCTACCTTTTTTTTTAAAGCAGGTAATACTAGTATTGCCAGTTATCTTTTAATACTTTATCTTACCTTTTAAATTGTAGTTCTTTGAAAGCAGGAACCACATCTTTAACTTCTTTCCCTCATGTCATTTAGTACATTGCCTTATACCAGGCAAACTGTAATAAATGTATCTGATGCCCCTTTGAGTCCATTCTAATAATAAGAGCTCTGTTTCCATTTGTGGAGCATTTTATAGTTTAGAAGGTACTTTTACATAGGTTTCTTATCTGGTTCTCACAATAGCCTCAGAAGAAGGAAGATAGGGTAGATGTATTTACCCAGTCTATAGATCATACAGCTGAAGCTCAGAAAGGTTAAGTGAATTTTCCAGGCTTATATTGTCTAGTAAATGGCAGAGCAAAGACTTGGGTTTGCTTTGTATTGTGGTAGTGAACTGTGATCTTTAATTCTCTAAAAATAGAAGTAGCTCGCCTTTTTAGTCTACCTTTTGCTCAAACTGTTGAATATTCTGCAGCATTCCTGCTTTTCGTCTCAGAATCTTCGCTAAATTTTCCACTGAGTTTTAAATACTCAGTTTAAGATTTAGCATTCAAATATTCCTACTCTTTTGGCACAGAAAAGGGTCACTTCTGTTCTCTGTACTCAGGAGACAGATCTGAGCTATGCAGAATTAGAAATAGGGTTTGTTTTTTTTTTCTCTCATTTTTTAAAGCTCATAGATAAGATTGTCCCATTCTTTTAGTTTCACAGAGAAGAACCTGGTCTTTCACGGTGTACTGAGTCCTTAGATTATTTGTCTAAACCTTTTGCTTTGGCTACAGTAGACTTACAGATTTAAACTAACATGGTCTGTGTTCTCTTTGCCGATAATATTTTCCTCTTATTGCAGAAGTGAAATTTACCACTTAAGCTCCTGCCAGTGGTGGCTATATAGATGTAAATATATGTAAAAATTTATTAAGAGATATAATTTCTGATTTGTATACTTTAAAAAAAATAAAATTATACCTTAGTTTTTAATAATAAGTTATGGAAAAAAGCCCAAGTTTTACTCCTCTCTCCAAAGGCTTCTCTCACCTCTCCAACATACTTAAATGTAGCTTTGTGAAATAGTAGCCAATATTGTGTAATTAGCATTATGACTCTGGAGTTCAAACTGGTAGTGTCTGAATCTCAGCATTGTCACCTAACTTCTTGGTGCTTCAGTTTCCTCATCTGTAAAATGGAGATTTTTAGAGTACCTACTTTAGAGGATTGTGAGAATTAGATGAGTCAATACATGGAAAGTACTTAGGATGGTGCCAGGTATGTAATGAGCATTCATATGTAAGTGGATATTATTATTAATTTTAATTTTAATTTTTTTTGAGTTGGAGTCTCACTCTGTCGCCCAGACTGAGACTACAGGTGCGCGCTACCACGCCCGGCTAATTTGTATTTATTGTAGAGATGAGGTCTTGCCAAGTTGCCCAGGCGGGTCTCGAACCTGCGGGCTCAGGCAATCCACTCACCTCAGCCTCCCAAAGGCGTGGGATTACAGGCTGAGCCACCGAGCCCAGCTTATTTTTAATTTTTAAATTGAGCCTGCTGCTTAGTTGCTTTTGTACACTGCCTCAGCCAGTGCCTAATAACACAAGTCTACCATTCCTGAGGCTATTGTCAATGATATTTGCATGTCTGATGTTAGGTACATTGTCCCTCTGAATATATGGATGCCTCACATTTTGATTTTCTGTACAATTTTTATTGCATAATTAGTCTAATTGCATGCTTTGCAAATGAATAGTGTCAGAATTTCAAGAAAAATGTCATATTCAATACTCTTTATTTATTGTGTTAGTTTTTAAAAAGTATTTATTGTATTAGTTTTTATTTAGGGAGATGACTAAGTTTCATAGAAAGAATGATGCACTAGGAATTGGGAGACATGGGTTTTCTTTTTTTGAGTTGGGGTCTCACTCTTGTCGCCTAGGCTGAAGTGCAGTGGCACACTCACAGCCACCCCAGCGTCGACCTGCTGGGCTCCAGCGATCCTTCTGCCTCAGCCTTCCAAGTAGCTGGAACTACAGGCGCGCACTATCACACTCGGCTAATTTTTTATTTATTGTAGAGATGAGATCTCACCAAGTTGCCCAGGCTGGTCTCGAACCTGTGGGCTCAGGCAATCCACTCGCCTTGACCTCCCAAAGTGCTGGGATTACAGTTTGAGCCACTGAGCTCGGCCAATGTGATTTTCATCCCAATTTGTCATTGATTCCTTTTATATGACTGGGAAACTCAGCCTGTGTGTCCTTATCTGTAAAATGGTGAATTATGATATCGACTACCCTCTTTGGAGCTCATATTTTGTTTGTCCTCATTTATATATGAGAAGATATTTAGTTACTCAGTATAATGATATCTGTAAAAATAATTGTGATTTCTTTAGTAAGACTAATTGCTTTATATTAAAAATTAATTATCGCTTTCTTTGTTTTCAGCTTCGAGCTCAGAATCAGGTCCTGAAAAAAGGTGTTGTGGAAGAACAAGCAAATTCTGCTGCTTTAAAGGTACACAGCAGGATATTTGTGTTGTGGGGGTTAAGTTAGTGTCTGATGATGCTTGAAGCAGAGAATTCAGCTTGTTTCCTGGTTTAATGTCCCAATTCTGACACTGATTTACTAAGGATAGCAGACAGTAATACAGTTCTTTATGGTTAACTTTCCCACTTGCTTAGGTTTGAATATGATGTACTTTGATTTCCTTAGCTTAAAAATTATCAAAATAGTATTATTTGACTTCAGTGCATTTCTCCTATGCCTCTGGACCTTTATTTAGTTTCAAATAAGGCTTTTCTTATTTGTTGTCATCACTAAACAGCACTCTGAGGGAGGCTGTGTCATATTCATATTTGTATTCCCAGCACTCGGCAGATGGTAGGTTCTTAATACATGGATTTGAATGTGTGAATCATTTAGTCCATTAATCTTACCTTGAGTTGAGCTATTTAATACTAATAACCTGTGTTAATCAGGACACTGTTTGGATGATACATTTTAACATCAGCATCTTTGTTAACTGAAGAGAGAAATATGACAGGAGATCAAGGAATTTATTTCTACCTCATTCTAGTAGACGTACCATAAATATTGCTTAGTGATATTTTTAAATGGGTAAATTAATTCTAGGATAAGGATTCCCTCTTGGCCAAGTTTCAGTTATAAATATATTGCCTAGCTCACTCCTTTGCTCTTTCTTTTTCTTGCTTCCATTGTTCTCTTCAGACAAATGGGATTGGGATTTCATTTAACTCTGATCTCTTTCTGGAGTAGCCCCCACTCAGTGATATATTCTAGGTGGCTCCATTCAGGCAACTAAGTCACAGAAGTATGTCCTTTTACTCAGCCAGTGTTGGACCTTACGCTAGAGAACTATTTCTCTGAGAGTCCCATCCTCAGATGCTATTACCACAATCTCAGGGTTTAGGTGGTTCTAAACATCTCCCCGCCCTGAATACTTCCAAGCTGTCTGTACCCAAGCAGACTATAAAAAGACGCTTTATAGTCACTATTTATTAGTTAAGTTACTGTTTTACCAGAATTGTCAAAGAAATCATTATCTCTCCCAGTAATGTTTAAACCTATTGCTGGGGAGAGTATTCCCTAGCTTGTCATAGTAGTCTGCTCTGGTGTTTAACACCCTTGTGTTACTGTTTGTGTTTGATTAACTCTGTGATGGAAGCAGTGGTGGCAACAGTGGTGGTAGTGGTGATTGTGACAGCTGGTTCCATCGATTGAGCATTCACTGTGTACCAGGCATTGTGCTAAGTAAATGATATCCATTAACTCATTTAGTGTTCACAACAACTCTCTGAGGTTAGATAATGTTATCATCCCCATTGCAGAAACGGGAGTTTAGAGAGAGATTGGGATAGATGTCTTCTGAAATTGATGACTGGTCAATGGAGCAGTAGTCAACTCATTATCAAAACTATAATAAAATCACACAATAATAATTATATTAAGAACAATTATAAGAATATAAAGAAATTACTTTTTGTCTTACTATTTATTACAGTGTTGTAATTATAGTACAAGTGAAAGTGTGTCAGTATGCTAGATGGGACTATTAGGGTATCTTTTGTTACAGTAGGCTTTTAATTTTGTTGATTTTTGCCTCTTGAATGAGCTGTTTGGTATAGTAAATATTCATTGGTGTGAGTTTCTTTGATGTGAAATATGTGATAATTTGGACAGGGGCTGGGCCTAAATTTATCTTTGAACTTCAGGTAAAAATTAAGGACTTACTAAACAAGCAGTAGGAAAAAAAATGTTTTCCTGCTTAATATGGGTACAAATTGTTCAATCCCGCTACCACTGCTCTCAGCTTGCAGATAATGTCAGTAGATACAAACACCAGCCTGTGGTTTTTAGGTGGCTGTTTCAATATCATTAAATCATGTGTTCATTAAAACATGATCTCTTCTTAGTTTTATAATTTTTTGTTTCAGTGGAAATAATAAAAGTATAGTTCTTTAAATATCCAGTAGTGTATAGCTATCTGGGTTTGATTATCAGTGAATACAAAGTTGTCAGAACATTGTAAATATAGTTTACATATTATTTACATATTTACATTGTAAATATAGTTAGAACAGTTCTTTTTAAAAAAAGGAACAAAATATTTTTCTTTAGTTTCCTATTTTCTTACCCCATTATGGTATAAACAGAACAAAATGGTCAGCAGAAGGTGTGTTGTTTATTGTTTAGATTTTGTTTCTTATTATCACTTAACTTTAAAATGAATTAATGTAGAACAGCATCTGAAAATATTTTCATTATGATAATATGGATTTTTGTCATGGACATATCAGAATAGTTAAAGTAAACTTAGATGTGCTGCAAAGACTTCATTTTGACTGATTTAAATTCAGAGAGGATTTACAGAAAAAAAGAATACAAATATATTTCTTCTCATTCTTGCTCACTGAAGGGAATCATTATTGAGTTTGAAGTTCTCTCTAACAATTCAAGTGTATAAATTTGTAGCCTCTAGCTTTGTGCCTATTCACTGTTATAGTTACAACAACATATAGTTGTAAATATTTTACTTTTAAGTTGATGACAGACTGTTATTTTAGCATATTCATTCTTTTTATTTTATTTTTAAATTTAATTCGTTTGGCCAAAAGATGCTTTTTTTTCCCCACTAGAAGCAAGAACTAAAATGATAAACAGGTACAACTTGAATTCCGTAAATCAAGAGATTTTGATTACTGGTGAAACAAAAATAGTTTCAAAAATTTAGTTCTAAACCTTAGGCTATACTGTTGGAATGGTTTGTTTTCACTTTGATATAGGAACAACTGAAAATGAAGGATCAGTCATTAAGAAAACTGCAACAGGAAATGGACAGTTTGACATTTCGAAATCTACAGCTTGCTAAAAGAGTAGAACTTCTTCAAGATGAACTGGCTCTAAGTGAACCCCGGGGCAAGAAAAACAAGGTAGGTCCAAATACAGGCAAGTTAGAGTGAGCTTTTCATTAGGCACAGACATCTACACACCATCCTGCATCTTACAGAAGATCCCAATGCCAAATTCTCTAATGTTCCATTATTATACCTGGATATTGGCTCAAGAAAGCAGGCATTTACTGTTATTATGTATTAAGCACCAGGGACATTTTCAAGCGAAAGTCAGTTTTAAAGAATATATGAGGAACAAACATGTACATAGTTGATTTACTGGCTGAGAAAAGTCAGTACAATATCTCATTGGTCAAAATTGTGTGTAATAAGCCGGGCTCGGTGACTCAGCCTGTAATCCCGCGCTTTGGGAGGCTGAGGTGAGTAGATTGCCTGAGCCCGCGGGTTCGAGACCCGCCTGGGCAACTTGGTGAGACCTCATCTCTACAATAAATCAAAAACTAGCTGGGCGCGGTAGCATACGCCTGTAGTTCCAGCTACTTGGAAAGCTGAGGCGGAAGGATTGCTAGAGCCCAGCAGGTCGAGGCTGCGGTGACCGGGAGTGGCCACTGCACTCCAGTCTGGGCGACAGAGTGAGACTCCAACTCAAAAAAAAAAAAAAAAATTAGCTGGGCGTGGTAGTGCGCGTCTGTAGTTCCAGCTACTTGGAAGGCTGAGGAGGATCACTGGAGCCCAGCAGGTCAAGGCTGCGGTGGCTGGGAGTGGCCACTGCACTCCAGTCTGGGTGACAGAGTGAGACTCCAACTCAAAAAAAAAAAAAATTGTTGATAATCTATATCAAGTTGCCATTAACCCAAGGTAGAGCAAATCAAATGAGAGAAATTGTCAAAAATGTGACTACTCATGAGAAAGCAGTCGAAAACTCATACTGTGTAGGTTCATAAGTTTGTTGTAGATGTACTTTCTTAGTTTTTAGTCTTGTAAGGCCAATTTGGTATTCTTGTCCTGAGATTTAAAGATAAAAGTTTTTCCTTGTGGCATTATATGGTGAGGCAAGATACTTATTGAGATGGCATTTTTAAACATTCTGTGATTAAGCAGTTGCTTTTTTTTTTTTGAGTTTGGAGTCTCACT